GGTCTGTCGGATGGTTTTAAAAGGTTTCGGCCAATTAACAGCTTGTCCAGTTTGGGATACCATTTTAAACCAGATTAAAAACATGCAAACTAGCTTAAGATGGTTTAAGTGTTTTTTAATATTGCTATTGTCATTACTATATTAATGATTATACTTACTGCATTATTATTATTATTATTATTATTATTTTTAAGCAATAATAATATCGTGTCATTCAAAAACTAATATATTTAAAAGTTTCTGTTTTATTGCTCACAAATCAGTGTACATTATTCTAAAGGGGACAATTTATTTTTGTAGTAATCTTAATCTGGAAATAATTGAATAACAAATCTGAAACGACTGAAACCATTTTGACCAACATCACATAGATCATAACTATATGAACTGGCAAACATGGAAAAGTAATGTTAATCATACGAAAACAGTTATTTTAGGTATTGTTTCAGACTGCTTTTGCAGTCTAAACTCTGGCTAGTTCACAGAGTAATTAAATGAGACTCAAAGTTAAAGTGATAAATGACAATGATAGATTCAGACAGACCAGCACAGTTATTTTCTAGTCTAGCAGCAGAACAGCAATAACCAGCATGGTTGACTAAAGCTAAACTCTCCTTTCAAACCATTTCAGTCCCAAACATGCAAGTATACAGGCCAGTGGAGACGTGCCTGGGGTACCTTCAGCCGGACCGAGGAAACACACACAGATATGAGAGAACACGCATACAAGACAAACTGTTCGTTCCCATAATTCATTTCCCCCGATGACACCGTACACACACACCTTCTAATCAAACATCTGGAAACTGTTCGCAGTCGTTTCAATCACTCTCCCTATCCTCCCTCGCTCTCCCTCTCGCTCGCTATCTTCCCGCGTGTGATCGATTGTGCGTCTGTCAGCATGCTGGCCGTGCTCTCCTGTCTGTCATCGCCAACGAAGGGCCTTTTATCAAATTCAGGCATTTAAACATGCCCTAAATAGTTTATATTGAAATGATTATGTTACAGAGACAAGATGGCGCAGCTCCCTGCGAGACCACTCAGTGAGGAGGGGAGAGAAAGTGTGAGAGAAATAAAGTGAAGACGACAGCGGAAAAATAAGGAAAGGTCACTCGTAGACATTTGCACGCACCCACACACACTTATTATAGCAGCGTGATCTCTATGTGATGCACTTTTCTGTTTAGTCTGTGGTTAACGTTGGTATAAGTGCAGAGTCGCCTGGGTTATTATGTAAGTGGCACTTGTGTCTTTTCTGTTATGCACAACATTTACATCCCAATTACATATGAGGGCTGAACACCTATCATTATTGTGCTTTCATCTGTCCCGGCCTCCACAGACTTAAATCTAACCCATTTACCATCAGCAAAATAAATGTTAAATATGTAACATTTGGTCATTTACTCTATATTTCTGTTATA